TTTGGCAACTCACTGTGAGGTTTCAGGGGAAACATGACACCTTGATAAGAGACAGTACAGATACAAAACCCAAACTCAGGAAAACAAGACATAATGTCTCCTTTCCCTCATCTGTGTAATTTTCATCATTTCCAATGCCTAGAAGATTCCAGACAAGCCAGCTAGGCTTTGTGCATCTAGAAAAGAGAATTCTAGACCAAATCTGGTTCAGGGAATGAACCATAATGGATACATTGGAATCCCAAGATAATAAGGGCCAGAGGTGAGGGAAATGAGAGACAACACATCAGTATCAAAATACACGTCCTACTTTGTAACATGAGCACAGTGATCATATGCACAGTCCAAGATTCCTGTTTAATTTTATTCTATTGGAATAAAACACTCTCTTTTTTTGAGACAGAGTTTCACTGTGTTGCCCAGGCTAGAGTGCTGAGGTGTCAGCCTAGCTCACAGCAACCTCAAGCTCCTGGGCTCAAGCAATCCTCCTGCCTCAGCCTCCCGAGTAGCTGGGACTACAGGCATGTGCCACCATGCCCGGCTAATTTATATATATATATATATATATATATATATATATATATATTAGTTGGCCAATTAGTTTCTTTCTATTTATAGTAGAGACAGGGTCTTGCTCTTGATCAGGCTGGTTTCGAACTCCTGACCTTGAGCAATCCACCCGCCTTGGCCTCCCAGAGTGCTAGGATTACAGGTGTCAGCCACCGTGCCCAGCCAAAATACTCTTATTATCTTTAAAGTTTCAGAGTGTTGTGCCTTAATCTAAGGAAATTCTAAAAAAAAATTTGGTCACAAACATGCTGAAACCCAAGACCAAGTGTTGGTCTTGTGTGTCTTATTTCTATTAAATGTGTGTCTTTTGTTACATAGCCCCTATGGGTTATTGACATCCACTCACTGAACACACCACCACACACACTGCATCTCCCATGAGCACAGACACATGCACACACACATCACACACAGTTTCTTTGAGAGGATTTATGGGATGGAAGTCAAGAATCCAAAAAAGAGAACATCAAATTTCAAATTGTGGGGGACACACCAGAATCAACTTGTCTAAATACTGTCTTTCTTCATAACACAGGGGGTTTCCCAGCATTTAGTGCAAATTTAACAATGTCCTGAGCATGGTTTCCCCCTTTTGAGAGTGGCCATGAGATTAGATTTCATTTTGCTGCCTGCTCCAGGACCAGTGCGGGGCCCAACCTCAGCTGGGGAAGCCAGTTTCCCTCCATCAATTGCCTGCTCTGAGTTTCAGCGAGGGCTCCCTCCCCCCTGCCCTGCTGCCCCACATCCCACCCCCCGGTTTAGCGTCTCCCTCTTCCCTGCTAGCCTGTCACTCCCTTCAGTATTATGTGGAAAGAGACTTGTTTCACACACAACAGAGATTATGCTCTACTCGGTAGGCACCCATCCCTGAGAATCAGATACAGAATAATTGAAAACGCCTCACACAAGCACACGGTTTGTTGCTCTGAGCTTCCCCAGGAACCCTTCCCTTCAGGGGAGTAAGAAGCCAATGGTTGCCGTATTTCCAACCATAGTGTCCTGCTGCATCTCGTCTCATGTTCTCCACTGACATCAGCTTTCTACCCAGTTGCTGTTTGGAATCATTCTCACAAAACCCACCCGTGGTGGTTCCCAAGGCCTCCCTCACACCACGATGCCCAGGAGCCTAGTGTTCAAGGACCCAGAGGTCAGGCACTTGGTCGAGAGCAGCAGGGGCCCAGGTCATCTGTGGGGCCAGCTGGACTGGACAAGTCTATGCAGGAGCATCTCCTCACACAGGTCACAACACACAGTGAGAAATTGACACCTTTCTAGAGGTGTGATATTTTAGGGTTATGTTACTGTTTCCTTCCCATTTTCCTGGTTTTCTATTTTTTTCTAAATAAGTATATAGAAGTGACAAAAAAGTGAACAGTGTTATGATTAAAAACCAAGACCTTTTTTGGCTCCCTGAGCAGCACCATGGCGGTTGGCAAGAACAAGCGCCTTACGAAAGGCGGCAAAAAGGGAGCCAAGAAGAAAGTGGTTGATCCATTTTCTAAAAAAGATTGGTATGATGTGAAGGCACCTGCTATGTTCAATATAAGAAATATTGGGAAAACACTAGTCACCAGGACTCAAGGAACGAAAATTGCCTCCGATGGCCTCAAGGGTAGTGTGTTTGAAGTGAGCCTTGCTGATCTGCAAAATGATGAAGTTGCATTTAGAAAATTCAAGCTGATTACTGAAGATGTTCAGGGCAAAAACTGTCTGACTAATTTTCATGGCATGGACCTTACCCGTGACAAAATGTGTTCCATGGTTAAAAAATGGCAGACTATGATCGAAACTCACGTTGATGTCAAGACTACCGATGGTCATTTGCTTCGTCTGTTCTGTGTTGGTTTTACTAAAAAATGCCACAATCAGATACGGAAGACCTCTTATGCTCAGCACCAACAGGTCCGCCAGATCCGGAAGAAGATGGTGGAAATCATGACCAGAGAGGTGCAGACAAATGACTTGAAAGAAGTAGTCAATAAATTGATTCCAGACAGCATTGGAAAAGACATAGAAAAGGCTTGCCAATCTATTTATCCTCTCCGCGATGTCTTCGTTAGAAAAGTAACAATGCTGAAGAAGCCCAAGTTTGAATTGGGAAAACTCATGGAGCTTCATGGTGAAGGTAGTAGTTCTGGAAAAGCTACTGGTGACGAGACAGGCGCTAAAGTTGAACGAGCTGATGGATATGAACCACCAGTCCAAGAATCTGTTTAAAATTCAGACTTTTAATAATGACAAATAAAGTGTCCTATTTGTGAAAAAAAAGAAAAAAACCAAGACCAACAACAGGAACACTTTCCATATTTGGTCCCTGTTGGGGTTGACAGTGTCTGGTGGGACGGACAGTGTCGTGGCCCATTTACTGGACGGAGGATGAACACAGAACACAAAACACAAACACAGAACACAAAGAAAAACGTGGACACACATACAGATGGTTGACTCGAGTAATAATACACTGGGTCAGTTTTATTTTTATACTCTAAAGATTAAAGTTAGTTCCTTGTACCTAACCACCCAGGTGTGGCATTGATAGCCATAAATTCTGGAATGCGTAGCCTTAGGGAAGTAGATATCCCCTGACTCAGAATTTCAAGGTGGTATCTCCAAGCACTAGGCATAGATCATGGACTGATATTAGCAAGGATGGGCAAGGTGAACCACAGGGGGCACATCTCATCCCCAGCTTCTCTTAGGGTGACCCCCTAAGATCTTCGGCTGAACCCTGGAGGCTGTGCCTGGCTTAGGTCGCCCCTCTTTTGAGGGGGTCTTACCAGTCATTGACTAACCGGCCATCTTATGGGTGTTTATCATGTGGCCTCCAGACTGCCAATGCCGTGGGGTGGGGCTGCTCTCGCTACTTGCAGCTCAGGTCCTTTGTTATGCCTCTAGGCAACACCTTTGTTTATCAGAGGGAGCCTGTCCGGAACACATTACTTTCAAACACTCTGGGCAGAACATGTACATTACTCACTAACTTTAATTCTTAAACTAGGAAAATATATGGCAGTCTCCTACAGACAGAGCACATCTCACTGTGTTTCTAGTGAACATTTGCTGTTCAAGTACCAAAACAGCAAGGACGTGTGTGTGATGGTGCCAACAGGGCTGTGCAGGGCTGCAGCTGGGCTCAGAGGCCTTGCTCTGCTCACCACTGACTCCACTGGAGGCCTTGAAACAATTAGGGGCATGCCCTGCTCCCCTAGACCACATGTCTGGACAAAGGGTGCCCCCCACAAGAATGAGATCTCCTACAAAAGGGCCCAAGCACCTGCCCTCAATGCTAGAGTCCAAGACACAGGATTTGGAATTGCAGGGGCAGTATCAGCAACACTCAGCAGTTTCCTGTTCAGGATTTGATGTGTGGTGTGAGACCAAAAAAGGCAGTACACAAAGGGGAGAGAGAGCCACATCCTTCTAGAAGTGGCTTTATTAATCCATGCAGTGCAAAACATGAGGGAGGGAGAGAGGAAGTTCTACCAGGTGTAGAGGCCCCTCCCCCCAGGGGCTGTACCTAATTGCTACTCATAAGAGTCCCAGGGAGACTAGTGTGACCTAACACTAACCCTATACTGTAAACCCTTAACATTAACCCAAACAATAAACCATAAACCCGAACCCTAACCATAAACCTAAACCCTAAATTCTAAACCTCAGCATTAACCCCTAAACACTAAATCCTAAACCTAACCCTATACCATAAACCCTAAACCATAACCAGATACCATAACCCCAAACTCTAACCATAAACCTAAACTCTAAACTCTAACACTAAGCATTAAACCCTAATCATAACCCTAACCATAAACCATAAACCTGAACCCTAACCATAAACCTAAACCATAAACTCTAAACCTAAGCATTAACCCCTAAACCCTAAATCCTAACCCTAACCCATAAGCCCAAATGCTAAACTACAGACCTTAAACTCTTAACCCTAAACCTAATCCTAAACCCTAACCCTATTCCTAACACTAAACCCTAAATCCTAACCTTAAATTCTAAACCCAGAACCCTAATTCCGAATCCTAACCCCGATCCCAACCCTAACCCTTAAACTTTAACCCTAACCCTAACTCTAGTCCCAACCCTAACCCCTAATTCTAACCTTCTAATGTAACCCCTAACCATCATTCCTGAGTTTAACCCCTGCTCGGAACCCTCTCCTTAAGCTTCAACCTGATGCCTAACCCTAACCCTCACCCTCACCCTGACTCTAACCCTGTTCCTGTCCCCTAACCCTTACGCTGACAGTTTCAAACCTTAACCTGAAATTCCAATCAGCACCTTCCTTCTAAATCCCAAACCTGGACTATGATATGAAACCTGAACTGGAAGTCTGACTCCTGGTCATTAAGCCCTATTTCCTAACCCTTTTTCTTAAATCTAACCCTAACCTTTTTACTGTCTATCATATGACTTTTCTACTGTGTCCACATGGAGTGAAAGAAATATCTGGCATCTCTCTTTCTACAGACATCACCCCTATGTATCGGTCAACTGAGCTTCCATAGCCAAATGCCACATACTGGGTGTTTTAGCCATGGAAACTGGTTTTTCGCAGTTGTGCAGGTGAGAAGTTGAGGATCGAGGCACCAATGCAAGTTTCTGATGAGGCTTCTCTTACTCCTTTGCAGATGGGCACCATCTTTCTGTATCCTCACACGGCCTTCCTCTGTGTGTGCACAGGGAGAGTTCTGCAGTGTCTCTTTCTCTGCATATAAGGACACAAGTCCTACAGAATTAGGGCCCAGCCCTTATCGCCTCATTTAACCTTAAGTATTTCCTTAAAGGCCCCTTCTCCAAATATAGTCACATTGGACGTTAGGGCTTCAACATATGAATTGATGGGACAAAATTTAGTCCATGGCCTTCTTTCCTTCTTTCTAGGATTTCCATGATATTTCTATGTTTGCTTGTTTTTGAGAGAGTGTCTCACTCTGTCACCCTAGCCAGAGTGCAGTGGCATCATCATAGCTCACTGCAGCCTCAAACTCCTGGGCTCAAGTGATCCTCCTGCCTCAGCCTCCCAAGTAGCTGGGACTACAGGCACACGACATCACACCCAGCTAATTTTTGTAGAAATAGGGTCACACTCTTGCTCGGACTGGTCTCAAACTCCTGAGCTCAAGTGATCCTCCCGCCTCAATCTCCCAGAGTGCTGGGATTAGAGGTGTGAGCCACCATACCTGGCCTAATTTTTTCTCTTGTATGAACCATACTTTATTATTTCTTTCCATGTATCATATATATTTTTTGAAAATTAGACATTTTATATAATATAATGTGGCACCTCTGGGCATCACATTGTCTCTCCTTCCTTGTGTTTGTAGTTACTGCTGTTAGTTGTCACTGATGTTTGTTGTTTTGTCACTTTCTGAGCTAATTCTGTGAAATCTATGTTGTTGTGTGTGGCTACTGAATTCTCTAGCTAATGACTGTATAGACACTTCCTTAAAAGTTGGGAAAAAACAAATCTCCAAATACTTCCTCGAATGTTCTGTGTTTGTTGGGACATCCTTCAACACTCAGCCTTAGCCTTTACTTCGTGCCTTTGCAGATCCTGCTGGTCAGCCAGAAGTGAGAGCCTAGGGCCTTCTGAGGTCTTTCCTGGGCATGTGCATGACCTTCTAGATTACTAAAAATAGGTTGGGCCTTCCCAACCTTGGCGGACACCTCATCAAACTTCTTATTTATTATTTGTCCAAACTGTTATCTACCACTTCAGTCAGCCACAAAGTTAAAACTTACCTGTAATAGTTCTCAAGAAATGTGTCCACTGATCACCAAAGTAGGAAGTTTTCCATGCAGGGTGATCCCTGAGCCATTCCAAATTCAAACAGCCTTGTGTATGGGCTCTTCCAGGGAGCCACCAGACGGGCCACATAATGACAATTGTTTGGGAGCAGCTCCTTTCTGCTCTCTCAAGTGGCTGCGAGGCTATAATTGAAATGAATTCTTTGAAAGAAAGAGTATTAAGTTAAAAAGCTGACAGAAGCAAATTTTCAATATTTCCCATACACACATTAGGGCTTTTCAGGTTTTTTATAAAGTAGTGCTTCAGGTTGCTAAGACCAAAAACCATATACAATCACTGACACACGTGTAGAAGACTGCAGCAAAGCCCTGAACCATCAAAATCACCACTTGAAAATATCAGGAAATCTGTGGTATGGAAAGTAGCTCAGGCACCACTTTACAAAGACACCACAGTTCAATATATCAAGAAACTGGCTAATGAAATAGAAGACCGACTTTCAGAACAAATAAAAGTAGCAAAATAGTTTTTATTTCAATTTGATGAATGTGCAGTTGCTGATAACATGGCAATTCTTTCAGCATATATGTGATTTGAAATGATGGTAATGTGAAAGAAGTTTGTTTTTAGCTTCATTACCAATAAAGCTACTAGCTCTGAACCAAACAAAACTGTGCAGATTTACATGTCGATGCATGCAGAAGACCCAAACATACAAAGCTAATGGATCCAAAATCCGTTTGTCCCTTCCTCTAATGTCCTGCTATTCCCTATTCACCAAGCTCAACCTGAAAACAGAGGGCTCCAGTGTTCCTGGGGCACAGACCAAGACAGACAGGCGGGCACAGAAGACAAAGGGAGATGGCAGCACCTGTGTTGAGGTAGAGGCTTTGGTTTTGGTTGAAGTGGGTGATGTTGTAGCATTAAGTATATACTGCTAAGAAAGACCCAGTACAGATGGAAAAGTTGGTATTGCAAAAGAATGAGACAAAGAACTCATTTTAGGAGAAGTGATAAAATGTAGTGACAAGAGAATTAGCCATTGACATGCATGGAGACAGTTCATCTCTTATAACAAAAGGAAACAGGCAGTAGATGCCTAACGAGGAAGGCAGGTTGGCAGGTGACGTGATGGGTATGTAGTTTTTCCACTGGTTACTTCAGTTTCTCAATGACATCAGAGCACAGGCACAGGAGCAAGATGGGAGGGACAGTGTGAGAAGGAGCCACCTGCACAGGTGTGGGCACATACCACAGAGATCCGGCAGAAGTCATGGCAGCACCTAAGGACCCGCCCAAGGCAGTGGTCTTGAAGTGAGGTAGGAAGTGGCTCCCCGGCTGCATTCTGCCCCGTAGGCAGAGGCGGGTTTATCCAGTGTTGGGGTTTGTCAGGGGAAAGGGAGGGAGGGGAAGGAGGTTGGGGCTGAGAGTGCCACCAAGTGATTGTGACGGTCCCATGAATGCGAGCTGGCACGGGCGTGAATGGGTAAGGAACAAGGACGCTGGCTCAGAGCTGGTGTGCCCCGAATAACGGCTGCACTTGGACACTGAGATGGCCCGAGGGAGGGGTACGTGAAGTGGAATTAGAAGAGTGCAATTACTGGTACTGCCAATGACTAGAGAACAACCTCAAAGTGGCTGGCTGAAGCAGGTGGAGGCAAGATCACAGGAGGCACGGGGCAGGGAGTGAAGACGTGGGGCGTGAGGAGGATTAGCTGTGTGGGCAGCAAAGTCGCCGAGAGCGATGCCACGGTGAGCAGCAGAACACAGAATCGAGATGCTTAGACCCTCAGCCGCTGTGAGAGGTTGGTGGAGACTGTGCCAACAGGACCCAGGAGGGGCTACGGGGCAACCTCAGATAGCAAGTGCTTCTGAGGGGCTGGGGTGGGGAAGAAGAAACCCCTGGTTTACCTTGGCCTCAGAGGAGGAAGCAGGGAGGAAGGGGAATGGACGCTGGGCAAGATTGTCTCTGTTAGAGCCAGCTCTACACCTCGGAATCCTCTGGAAGTTTCTGAACCGCAGCTGCCCAGGCTGCACCCCCAGGGCCCCTGCTTTGGTGGGTCTAGGACAGGCAAAGCCCAGGGCCAGCACTTAAAAACCTTCAAGCAGAGGAGGCGGCGGCAGAACCTTAAGCTCGGAAGCCCTGGAGCTCCTGGACACGCGAGTCGAGCCTGCCCTGAGCGCCGCGCGCTGTTCTGGGGCAGGTTACTTCACTACACGTCACTTCTGCATTTCGCAGTTATGTTTACGAGCAGGGAACACCACCTGTGGATTTAATTTCATGTTAGCAAAGCGGGGCTCGGAAGCTTCCTTGTAAACAGGGATCTAAGTGTGCAAGTGCTCGCGGGGGACGGGGCAGAGCCAGAGTCTGGGGGCTGCATCAGCACAGCAGATGCTCGGGTCCATGGCAACCAGCCCCAGGACCTGGCGGGATGTGGTTGGGTCTGCCGGCCTGTGGGGGTGGAAGTCGGTTCCCTCTGCGGGAACCAGGGCCACAGAGACATGCGGGTGAGCGGCCCAGGGGCCCGCAGGACCATCAGCCACCAGGTGGCAGCAGGGGACAGGCAGAGCAGGGCCAGGCCACATGGGAGAGCAGGACTCCAATACCCCCAGGAAGGCTCTCTTGGGTTGCTTTGGTTTGGGGGCCTGTGGCATCCCCACCTACCCGGCACGGGCTCCCCCAGGGTCTTGGGCCTTCCCGGTGGGCCTGGCCACAGAGACTGCGGCCCCTTCCTCATTTCCTGCTGTGACCAGGCCTCAGTGGCAGCCCAGCTCCACCCCTCGGACCCTCTGAGGCCATCTTCCATCCCCTGGACGCTGCCTCTGACTTCAGGCCTCCCCAGATTCACAGCCCCCAGGAAGTCCTCCATTGCACAGCTACTTCCTGGCCCCTGCCACGCTGGAGACCCCCAGACATAGAGCCAAGCCATGCAGCCCATTGAACAGAGGGGGTCCCAGCCCCAAAGAAGGGCCTGAGCCCAACCCAGAGCCCACCACCCTCAACTGCAAGGCCAGGAACAACCAGAGCCCTTGGCAGCCAGCCCCCTTGCCCCCTTCACTGGCCAGCTTGCGTGGCCTCACCTGCCTGTGTCCACTCACCCTACACTGTCCTCACTCCCATGCACCCCAAAGCCGCTTGCCAACACCCCCTACACAGCCACCCGCAAGCTACTGCTCCTTGGCACCCACTGGGGGCTCCAGGGGTGAGAACACGCCTCACCCAAGCTCACTGCCAGGTCCAGGTGGGCAGTTCCGGCCCGCCCACCTGGCAAGGTGCCGCCTGCTGAGGCATAAAACCCTGGGATCCCAGCCAGAGGCAGCTCCTGCAACTGCTGGCCATGAAGGGAAGCAGCACCCTCCTGCTGGCAGCCCTCACCATGCTCTGCGTCTGCGGTGAGTCTGTGCCGCTGCGCAGGCGGCAGACACTGTGCTTCTAGCACGTTCTGTGGTAGGGGCTGGGGATACCCGGGAAGCTAAACCCCAGCATCAGGCCCCTGCAGTGGACACTCTGCCTGCCCCCATCACAGAGGTGGGCAAGGACCCTGCTGGCCCCGGCCCCACCCAACCCCTCCACAGCCCAGCACAGCCAGCCCTCCCAGCCCTAGGCCAGACCAGCCTCACTTCAGGGGCGCAGCTCTCCTACCGCAGTAATCCCAGGGAGCCTGACTAGAGATGGGGCAGCTGAGATCGGGGTGACGGGGGGTCTGCAGGCAGGTAGGGTTGGGGTGTGGTGGAGGAAGATGTGTAAGAGAAACGGGCATTGATGGGGAGACCACAGTGGCGGGGGTCCTGGCCTGGCATCATCTCACCTATGACACAGGGCTGGCCACAGCGGGGGAAAATGAAGACTTTTTCATGGACTTCCTGCAAACGCTGCTGGTGGGGACCACAGAGGAGCTCTACGAAGGGCCCCTGGGCAAGTACGACATCAACTCGAATGCCAAAGAGGCACTGGCGGAGCTCAAGTCCTGCATCGACGGCCTGCAGCCCATGCACAAGGAGGAGATGGTCAAACTGCTGGTACGGGGGCTGGGGCCCATTCCCTGGAGACCCGAGGCCCTACCGAGACCCACCCAATGCAAGGCCCCCGATTGCCTGCCCAGCACAGCAACCCCACAGCTCACCACCCCACAGACACCCAACCTGCCTCAGCCAGACCCCCCCCACAGAGTAGCCCCCAGACTCCACAGACCTGCTCCACCTCCAGCCTGTGGGCTACCCCCTTGCACATGTGTGCACACACACAGATACCAACACAGGTGCAAACATGCAGTGCACACTGCAGGCACACACTTACAAATGCACATTCACATATGCATGCTTACATTGAGATGTGGACATGTACACACAAACACACATGTTCACATGCAACCTATGCACATGCATGCAACATGTATGCACACAGTCATGCATGCGCACACAACACCTCCCAGCTGCTGGGAGGGGAGGGGCCACCTTGTGTCAGAGCCCACCCTCCCCCAGAGGCTGGCCAAGGCCTGTCTGCTTGACGGCTGTCAGGTTATCAATCACCAGCTGTCTTGGCCCACACGTATCTGCCTTCCAGGTGCAAGTGCTTGGCAACATGGATGATGCCTAAGTGGACCCCACACGTGGCTCCCAGCAGCCACAGGACCATCCACACAAGCAGCCATGGCCACGCTGCCCCACTACTGCTTCTCCACGTGTAAATTTATCCTCAACTGTTTAATCAATAAAGCTTTCTGCAGCTCAGGCCCCGGCTGCTGTCTCTTGCCCACTGACACACAGAAGGTCAAGTCAAAAACACACTCAAGGGCCGGGCACGGTGGCTCACGCCTGTAATCCTAGCTCTTGGGAGGCCGAGGCGGGCGGATTGCTCAAGGTCAGGAGTTCAAAACCAGCCTGAGCAAGAGCAAGACCCCGTCTCTACTATAAATAGAAAGAAATTAATTGGCCAACTGATATATATAGAAAAAATTAGCCGGGCATGGTGGCGCATGCCTGTAGTCCCAGCTACTCAGGAGGCTGAGGCAGAAGGATCGCTGGAGCCCAGGAGATTGAGGTTGCTGTGAGCTAGGCTGACGCCATGGCACTCACTCTAGCCTGGGCAACAAAGCGAGACTCTGTCTCAAAAAAAAAAAAAAAAAAACACACACTCAAGGACATGACCATACCTGCAGGTGCATGTACAGTCTCACACCCAGGGTCCCACTTGAGGAGCATACACGTGGATGTCAGCCCACACAGAGATGTGCACAGAAACAGGCTCCACACAGGAGCAGGCACACAGTGGGCGGGACTCAGAGTGGAAAATCCAGCAGATGCCACGAAGCAGAGCAGACACAGCCGTCACGTGGACACAGGAGGGAGAGGGTCTGCAGAAGCAGCGGGGGAGGCAGGAGGGGCACGGAGCCCCGGAAGGAGGAAGTGTCTGGGCTGGGCAGAGACACGGGGCGCCAGCCCCCTCACTCCCAGGGCCAGGTGGGGTGCTTGGCATCCGGAAGCTGGTGTTCCAAGGCAATGGCTGTGCATAGAACTGTACCCCGTGACACAGGCCACCGATGCCCAGGTCCAGGGGCAGATGCCAGAGCCTCTCTTCCCAAAGTCACAGTCTTCCCGGAAGAGCCTGAGCCCCAAGAGGACACTTGATAAGGTTGAGAAGAAAGCGCACCTACCCAGGACATCCAGGGTCCTAGGGGTGGGCTGGGACAGCAGGTGAGCAGGCTCTGAGAAAGTCGAGCGGGGCGGCACCTCCCCACAGACAATCAACCCCAACCCTGGGTCCCAGGATCCCCCACAGCCAGAAACTTCCTGTGCCTCAGTTTCCCAAGCCCCATGGTCTCTACTGGGGGTGGAGCTGAGTGGGGTCACCACCTTCATTCCTTGGCCACCCCTCTCTAGGCCTTGTGACCTCACCACCCTGTTGCTCCCTTCCCCACTTCTGTCCCACCCCAGCCTGGCGGGGGGGTGGTGGGTGGGCCTGGAGACAGGGGTCCTGGTGAGGGCGTCCTGCTGAGGGGTCCCTGTGAGGGGTCCTGCTGAGGGGTCCCTGTGAGGGGTCCTGGTGAGGGCGTCCTGCTGAGGGGTCCCCGTGAGGGGTCCTGCTGAGGGGTCCCTGTGAGGGGTCCTGGTGAGGGCGTCCTGCTGAGGGGTCCCTGTGAGGGGTCCCTGTGAGGGGTCCTGCTGAGGGGTCCCTGTGAGGAGTCCCTGTGAGGGGTCCCTGTGAGGGGTCCTGCTGAGGGGTCCCTGTGAGGAGTCCCTGTGAGGGGTCCCTGTGAGGGGTCCTGCTGAGGCGTCCTGCTGAGGGGTCCCTGTGAGGGGTCCTGCTGAGGGGTCCCTGTGAGGGGTCCCTGTGAGGAGTCCCTGTGAGGGGTCCCTGTGATGAGTCCCTGTGAGGGGTCCCTGTGAGGAGTCCCTGTGAGGGGTCCCTGTGAGGGGTCCTGCTGAGGGGTCCTGCTGAGGGGTCCCTGTGAGGGGTCCTGCTGAGGGGTCCCTGTGAGGGGTCTTGCTGAGGGGTCCCTTGAGGGGTCCTGCTGAGGGGTCCCTGTGAGGGGTCCCTGTGAGG